GGGGGGGGAGATGAAGCAAAAACTTCAGGTAATTTCGAGAAAATCTCGCGCACTGGACTCGACGCTACCTCACTCAGGGCAACTCCTCGGACCTAGCCCAGCAGCCCAGCAGGGGGGGGGGGGGAGGGAGGGGCAGAAACTTCAGGTACTTCTGGAAAATCTCTCGCACTTGAATGCTATTGCAATCGCAATCGCAAGGCTCAGGACAACTCCTAGAACTTAGCTCATAAGGGCGGGCTGGGGGGGGGAATAGAGAAAATCTTGCGCACTAAGGAGTACCCCCTCCCCGGCCTATTCCGCCTAAGGCTTGATCCCGTTCCAAACATGAAGAAATTCCTGACACGATTTGAATACGCTGTCGCCACAATGTCCCCATATCTTGCGATAGCGCTTTAAACCCATTCGCACTCGATCCCGTCATTCCGACCTCATATTATTCTAGGCGATCTCTCATACGCTCTCTTTACCGATTCTTCCATTACCTAAATGTTCTAAATACCCGCACAAAGCGTTCACGGCTTATCCCATCGCAATTACTTCTTTTAGTTCCTAATTTCAAACCCTTTTACCACAAAAGCTTTCCGTGCAACTTTCCAGGCATGACCAAACGTCAAAATTTGTCTACACCTACCAATCAGCTCTACAGAAAGGATGATGGATCGAAAGAACGGCGAGACCAACTTCAGTAATAACAACTCACCGATACTTTCGATATCGGCACGACTCGGTCGACTGATCGCGTTCATAATCCGTTCTATCTGGTTTATGGTTGACGTCCCGGGAAACAATGCTCGACCTGAAGTCAGTACAACCTACAAAATTTAGGCGTCGATATTTCCACAAACAGAAGTGATATGATGATGCTAGCGTAACTACTGTATCACCAAGGCATTTCAAATTCACAATACATTGCCCGACCCTCCGGTCGTACTGTAAGTATTACGGTAATTTCAACTGGACCCCTAAAATATTATTGGGCCATCTGGCTGATCACGAGCCTCTTAGGCTGCACCCGCAAAGGCGAAGTAAAAGACGGATGAATCAGGGCTAATCAACCCCTCCTAAGTTGCGCCAAGTACTCCATTTGGGACCACATTGTAGGCATTTCTGGTGCAATTTGAGTTTATAAGAGTGGACTTGTGGGAGCCATTTAACCCTTTCAGGACGAAGTGGTTAATTACGAATCGGTCGACTCGGGAAGTACGGGAATCGGTTAGTCTGAACTGGATTCGAGCCGATTGCGGCCCCAAGCCCATGAAAATGCTAAACAGCATCGCTTGCTACTTTTACTACACCCTGCTCCATGCTCATGGAGATTGCAGCTGGCGTTGGTCCGCTCCGCACCTACAAAAAGCAGTTCTAGATTACACTAAAGCTAAGTTATGAGTGACGAAAGCTGGTAGGAGGCACCGCCGTCTGCTGTTTGGCACGAGCGTTGATGACGAAGTCTGTAGCGTGGATTACTTTGTCGAAAGAAAAACGCATTCGCTGCGAAATCGCTGAGTATAAACCTGTCAGCCTAACCTCCTGAGCTGTGAAATTTTGGACCGAAAAAGTTTTACAGTTTTGCCCAGGGCTAAGTAACTTGTCTAAACGCTACAAAAGCACGATCAATGGTTATTTTAAATTTTTCACTGGTCTTATTCGATTTGACGAGAGCTGTGAAAAGGATAATTATTGATCGAAAGTGATTAAAGTTGGAATGCAAGGAAAAGGCAAATAAATCAAAATAGTACCTAGCAACATCTCGGCCAGAATACATCCAAGACTCCACATGTCGACACCTTTTGTGTACCGCTTAGCGGCCAGCAGAATTTCCGGGCTACGATACCACCGGGTAGCCACATACTCGGTTAATTCCGGCATGTTCTGACCTTCCGGATAGTCCTCCAGCTGGAACGGAAACTATTAAGCAAATGTTACCAAAGTGATGGAAGAAACGAGCAATTGGCCTCCTCATCATTAATACCCCAAGCTCCGCCCCCAGACCACAAACTCCACCCATTTGAACAAAAAGTTCAGGAAAAATTATTGTTGAGAATCCCGTAGTGATCAATAATTATACTACCGCAAGAATTGAAAAAAAGCAAAAAGGAAACGAATCACCCTGAAAAAGAAAAAAAATGGTCAGGAGCCGAAAAAAAAACAATTGTACCTTGTTGGGGACAAAAAATAGGTACTAACTTATGTGGGGGAGGGGGAGGGAGACCACGCCGCAGCGCGGCGCTTTGTCCGGCTTCTCTGCAAGGCTTAGTCCCGGGTGCTACTGCATTTTGAAACTGCTACGATATAGCGAAATAGTAACGGTCCCTGTGACTAAGCCTCAGAGTTGCAGACAAGTAGAGCGTCGCACCGTCGCTTGGTCCCCCCCCCAACTAAGTTAGAACCTAAAAATGACCATCTCTACCAACATGTGAAAGAGGAGGATAATAAATAGCAACTGAACTTGAAAAAAAAACAGTGGTGGCGGAACCTACCCTCCTAAGCAATGAGTGAAAAACGCACGCCAAAAATTGACATTGCAAAACGTTATTGCAACCTCTGATTCGCACAAACCACACCCCCTCTACGCAAGTCCCGCCCCAAACCTCATGTTGCTAAGCATGCTCGAACTGCGCTTGGAATGCTCGACATTGAACACCATTTTGTGACAACTAATGCTAAGTTTATAATTCAATCACGGTAATGATAATTTGATAAATGATGTAATGGTAATTCATTAGAAATAATAATCACTAATCGGTAATGTAATCAATAATTTTTAAATAATGGTGATAATGATTACCGTGTAAGCAAATTTGGTTGATAACTGAGTGAAATCACCCCAAAAAGTAAATGGGTAATTCATAGTGATGATAATGGTGGGGTAGGTGTGCATAATAACATATAAAATAGTGAGTAGATGAAGCGATAGGTGATAATTATTGATAATACTCCATATTTGATTTGGTACTCACCGACGAAAGCGATCGTGCCAGTCCGAAATCGGCTAATTTTACACGGCAATCTGCATCCAGCAGCACATTTGATGGCTTCAGGTCTCTGCAAATATCATCGTTATATTTCAAATTACTTATAGATTACGGTAGTTCCTAGTCTCCTGCTGGATGCCAACAATTATTTTATGGTCACTAGGAAGGTAACCAAGAGCGCCAGCCAAACTCATCCCAATCCAAGTAATTAATTACTATTTCCTCTGTACATTGCCATGGCTACTAAGGCGAGATTCGAAGATTCAATTGGGATAAACTAGTCTTGGAGCCAGTCCCTGTTCCTCAAGCGTCTCTCGGCCCAGCAAGTGCACAATTTATTGCTGTGTTCCCAATCGGGCCACTTTTTTTTCGAATGACGTAATTCTGGGAGAATTTCCTGCGTTATTCGCTGAGTTTCACGGCAGCACTTTCGCGGTAGAAAAGCGCTTAATCGTTTCCGTCATCAGGCGGTCACACACCCTTGTGAACGCCAGGAGGTGACGGACACGCTTGAGTGCGTTCCTAGGAAGCAGCAAAAAATATGTTACAGCTTGAGAAAGAGACTTTTCTGCAGCGCTAACCGATCAATATCTACTTTTAAGGGAGAATGCCGTCGAAGGAATTTTTCGTAAGTGTCTAGAATGTGGGTCTTATTGGACCGAAAAATAAAAATAACACATTAAGTAAGTTTGGTGCGATGCAGTCTAGACAACGCAAAGGACCCCCGGGCAGGGGTTCTCTGAATTGTCGAGACCCTCTCCTGACTCGGTAAGGAGGGGGTGCCGACCGAACAGAAAGGAGCAAGGGGCCGGGCACTCCTTGGCAGCACCAGCGTACAATATACAATTCTGTCAAGGGTTCATTTTTTCCCCCCAGTCCGGGGCGTTCATTTGGCAAAACCCCCCCCCCCCCTCCTTGAAAAAAGCTTCCAGTAGAATGTTAGAGGTACGGTTCCTGATGTCCTCAGCCCCAAATGGAAGCTCATTGTCATTGCCCAAGAGACGGACCGTTTTAGAGGTGGACCCACTTCTCTTGCTGACGTAGCTGATTAAAAGCTCTTCAGCATCACTTCCGTATACTCTTGGGAAAATTGATATTACTCTACCGGGATTGAGTTAATCGTAGGGGATTTGAAGTTCTAATCGGTTCAGTGCACCCCATGACTGTTTGAGACACTCAGGTCGACATGGGGCTTCCCAGAAGGCGATTTAAAGGGATCAGAAGCGTATCTGAGTACGACACACGGGCTTCAAAATATGTCCTATCAAACAGCCCCCGGGGCTACTTCAAAAATGTCACGTGAATTTCCAAGCAGCACTGAAACCAGAGTTTTTCCCCGGATCAATTGCCTACGAGGGGTATCCATGGAGATGTCGTTGGTGGTGATTTAGCTCGTTGTGAGGGTACGTAAAAAGAAACTCAATAGGTACATAAGTTATAAATCTCAGAATACTTCCTACTACTTCATGGGGTCTTACTAATGACTCCTTTTCCTCCGCTGGCCATTCTATCAATAATATATCACAGGCCGGCCAAATGACGCTCGCTTCACTTTTTAGGGTTTCAACCGACAGAGGACGGATGGAACCGGAGAAGCGCTTGACCTTAACCGCCCCCTCCCCCTTCCTTCTTGTTCACCTTTAGAGGTACCCTGTTCACCTTTAGAGGTACTAGAACTGACCTATTCTATCCCTTAGAACAACACGACCTATAGCAAGGGGAGGGCACGTTGAGATCGAGTTAATTACCGTAACGATGACAACCCGTCTGACGTCTGCGGGGGCAAGCTCTCACTGATCCCAAAATAAAATGTTCACATACGTGTCAGCGGCTAGACTGGGACTGGCTGCAGCAAGCCCCGGTCGGGAATGGGTGCTCAAAACTCTGCCTCTCTGGACGCATCCCCTTAGGCCGATGTCAGACTTTGCGAATCGCGCGATTCGCTAGCGTCTGCGGTCGCGTCGCGGCCAGTGAATCACTCAATTGGCTGGTACCGCAACGCGACCGCGGACGCTAGCGAATCGCGCGAATCGCTAGTAGCGAATCGCGCGATTCGCAAAGTCTGACATCGGCCTATTCTTGACGAAATCGACCAGAGTAGAGACGCGTAGTTTTGGGAACCCATCCCCCAACGGGGCTTGCTGTCCCCGGCACCAGCAGAGCACACTACTCGAATTGTTTCCACGTAATCCACGTACACCCGGCCCCGCGAACTTGCTGAGATACGGCCCCACCTGCGAAATTAGAAGTTACCGTATCAGTAGCAACGCGAGCGCTTGTACCCGTAAGAAAAAAACAGCCGTTCTTCGTGAAAGAATACCCACATGCCTTAAAAATTCCACATGTAAAGTCCAATTGAGTACACAGGAATAGCGTCAACCCCGGATAATTTTTTCACCCCAAATTTCCTGACAGGTCCCAGGGCTTGACGACGATTTTGACGACATTGACGTCGACTCGCGGTTGACAGGTTGTCTTTTATAGAGAAAACGGCTCCGCAATCCACTTTTACTTACCTATGCAGCACGTTTCCGCTGTGCAAAAAACGAATAGCTCGGAATAGCTGACACATTATGTACTGCTTGTGGACGTCCTTCAGAATGGTCATTTTCTTGATGACATTATGCAAATCGGCTTCCATGTATTCGAACACCAAATAGATATCCCTGAAAATAAACCCAATTCAACACCATAGAAATAACACGGAGAATATGATGTCGGGGTCGCAACTAAACCATATTCCCGAAATAGAACTGAAAAAATAGTCACGAAGAGGATCCAATGAATTGGCTCTGAAAAAAGGTTGCTTCGATGCAATGTATGCTATACGAAGTTATTAGTAGCAGGTGCTGCAGCTCACCACACGCGCCAGGTTCAGGGATCAGATCCTTTGGATCTAGGTCAGTGAAGCCTCCCATGGGTCGCGGACACCATTGTCCGAGAGCGCAAAAACATTTACATGTACGGCTGTCCCCCACAATTGTATGTATTGTATCTCTGAGCCTCGCATATACAAAACGCTGGCAAGATTGTTTCAGTGGAAGGTGAAATACGTGACGCACCCAGAGAAGACGTAGACCAACTAATCAATTCACTGCTCTCAAGAGGCTGATCGTCGAGAGTGCGATGCAGATTCAAGTCGAATGCAGAACACACCAGGAGGCGGCTTGAGAAGGTTGAAGATTGAGAAACGTGGTCAGAGATGAAGAAAACCCCACATTCGATATGGACTGACCATCGAGATGGCTTTCAGGGATGTAGGGAAAAAGTAAGACGGTTCACATATTATCGAAGGATAGGGTTAGGATATGCCTTGCACTTCGAAGTTCTACCACTGGTTGCGATCGGTAGGTTCGAGTTTGGCCCTTTGCTTAGATACAGCCCACAGGACAATGAATCCAACGTGACAGGACAGCTGTTTTTATCTTCCCAAACAGTAAGATCTTACAGAGGGGAAGATCAGTGTGAAGGCTTTAGCTGCTGGCGACTCCAACAGAACTTGATCAGCCGCAATAGTGAGCATAGTAGACAACCTCTCAGTACACTATTCTTAGTCTAAGTAAACATAAGGCAACGGCGACCCTTTTTGGGATACGCTATGCACTCCGCATCCATTCGGAAGCGTTGTGGCATTTTTTAATGCGATTTGGCCTATGCGAGAACACCTGCGAGAGTTTATCAATCGGGCGTCTGTATGCCTCCGTGATTAGTATGTACGATGGCATCCACTCGGATGGATTGACTTGGATGCGCTGTTGTTGGCCGTTTGCACCACACCCGTACCGTCGGTGCGTGTCAATACGCGTAGCTTATTTTTGTCGCTAAATGATCCCAAACAACATCACCGTACTGTCATTAGTGCAGCCTTGGTGAATGTTGAACAACGGTATATAACAATTTGGATGGTCGGGCCAACACTGCGTGCAAGAACATCACCTCACGGAATGTCCGTTGAGAGTCTGTTTGATTCCGGAATGCATCGAATATCTGGAATCATTTATTCACTCAAGTGGGAAATATAAGAGAACATTAATTAATAGAAGGAGAATCGAAAAAAAGCGTGTTTCATTGCACAGTGCGCAACTAGACTGTCACGACCGCGACCGCGCGCGGAATTGTCGCTTTCTGGGAACACCGCTCGATTTCGAGACATTTCTGCAGCAACATTTGAGGATGCGTTTACAAATGACCTGCGATGGCAAGACGCTTTCAAGAGCTTTTTGAAAGTGACAAAAACCGGGCGCTTACGTCAACGGAAGTAAATGACAGGGTATAGCACAGCTATAAAAGATGTCATTGCTAGGTTCATGAGAACCAGGTGTTGATTGTTCCTGCAAATTCTCCACAAGACCGATCGGGCGCTTCAAGTGTCACCTAATGTTGCGTGAATAGGCAGGGCCACGTTCATGCTTCCCATCTTCGGAGATCAGTAGGCTTATCAGGACGTGGAAATTAGAATATTCTACTAATAAAATAAAATAAGTACTGATTGATCTCGATGCTCATTAGTAACTATTAGCTCCCATCTTTTGTACATCTGGTGAACCGAAGCTGTATTTTGTCAAAAAGTAAAGGTAGTTGTGCTTTTGCAATGGAAAATTTGAGAAATGCAAAAATTATTACATCTTCATGGCCCCCTACCGGTGCTAAGAATAGCTTGCAGTAGAGCCGAAAAAAATTCAAAAAATAGCGCACCAAACAAAGCTTTCAAAATCACGCCGCCCGCACGAGCTAACACATTCGGTTCATGAGATTTTGGCCACGCCCCCAGGACTAGCGGGCCCAGCACAAGAAGAACTCTTTTAGCATGCTCTCCAGATCCAGGACTTTCTATTGACCAGCTATTTTGTCCACGACATTCTGAACTACAACAGTTCCTTTCTTTTCGGCTTCATGAGCCATCCAAAAATTATCGAGATCGAATAAAAAGAATCGTTCAGTCCAAACCTTATATTTTTCAACTACTCTGCATTTTTCTAGACTTTTCCCTTGAACTGTCATGGAATGATAAGCATGTTTCGTACATGGCGCGGGTTCTGTTTAGCGTTTAACATAGTATTTCACTCCGCATTTGCGGTAGTTTAGTTTACCTAGGAGCAGTGGCAGAAAATTTTATGGTTAGAGCAGATACGTTCTGTAAATCGTTACCAATTCCCTATTATTTAGCAATAGTTCCGAGTTCGGAAA